GGGGGGCAGTACCCGTTTCAGCTCGTTGTTGAAGGACTCCGTGGCCTCGATGAACTTCCTCTTCTTGTCCTGGTGGCGGTCCTCGATCTGCAGAAGCTCCGCCTCCAGTTTCCTCTGGACACACAGAGACGATACCGGCCCGAGTCTGAGTCTGAGAGGATCCTTTTAGAGGCGTTTAGAGTCCAGATATCCAGCTGGAGGTTTGTCCTCTGATCCAGAAGCTTCTTCAGCTCTAATGATGGTGGAGCTCTGAGTTCATATACTGGAGGTTGAACTATAGAATTAGTCTACCTACAGTACATTAATCTGACTCTATATTATATCTTCCACTTATTTTGGGTGGTTTTGCTGGCTTTTCCATTTATTTTTCATGGTTTTTCCAGCTTTTTTTACTTCTTTTTCATTGTTTTGATGCTTCTTTTACTTATTCTATATTGTTTTGTTGCCTTTTCCACTTATATTTCATCGTTTTTCCTGATTATTTTGACTTCTTTTTCATTGTTTTGATACTTCTTTTACTTCTTTAGTTTTTTTGCCTGCTTCTTCTACTTATTTTTCATTGTTTTTATGATCATCCACGAATTTTTCTGCTTCTTCCACTTATTCTTGGTTCTTTTATTGCCTTTTTCTCTTATTTTTGGTGTTTTTGCAGTTTTTCCCACTTATTTTTCACTGTTTTGCTGCTTCTTTTTCATTGTTTTGCTGCTTTTCCAGCGCCCCGTTTGGTTCCCCCCTAGATCTTTAGTTCCACCTCCAGTATATTTTCCAGTATATATACTTCTGGATCAGAGGACAAACGGCTTCTGGAGACCTCCACCTCCAGCTGGTTAACCGGCCTTTTCCACGGCCTTTTCCCCACCTGGTGCACCATGAGGGACTGGACCTGCCTCTTATTTTTCATAGTTTTGCTGCTGCTTCCACTTATTTTGGTCCTTTAGCTGCTAACCACCAATACTTTAGTTCCACCACCAGTATATTACCTTGGCCCTACATTTTTATTCATTGTTTTACTGCTTTTTCCTTTTATTTTTGGTTGTTTTTATACCTTTTCCACATTTTTTAAATAGTTTTTCCACTTCTTCCTCTCATTTTTGGTTATTTTGCTGCTTCTTTTAGTTATTATTGGTTGTTTTGCAGACTTTTTCTCTTATTTTTGGTGTTTTTGCTGTTTTTTCCACGTCTTTTTGGCTGTTTTGCTGCTTCTTTTAGTTATTATTGGTTGTTTTGGTGCCTTTTTCTCTTATTTTTGCTGTTTTTTCCACTTATTTTTATTTGTTTTTCTGCTTTTTCCACCTATTTTTGATCCTTTAGCTGCTAACCACCAATTCTTTAGTTCCACCTCCAGTACATTAACCCATAGCTCCACCATCATTAGAGCTGAAGAAGCTTCTGGATCAGAGGACAAACTGCTTCTGGATAACCTCCAGCTGGTTAACCGGCCTTTACCACGGCCTTTTCCCCACCTGGTGCACCATGAGGGACTGGACCTGCCTCTTGAGGACCTGCATGCGGGCGGTGGTGACCACGGAGCGCACGTCCGGCACCACGCTCTCGCTCAGGATCTCGCTGATCAGCCGGTGGTTACGCTGGAAACGGGCCGCCGCCGAGTGCTTTATGGAGAAGCCGTCATCATAGTCTAGAGACCAGAGGGAGAAGGCCATTTTGATTAGGTCACCAATAGGAAGATCCCAGGCAAGAAAATGGTAATTGCTTCATGGCAATATAGACGTTAATTTAAAAATAGTGAAATGAATCTTGCAAACACTGAATTAAACTCTATCCATAATATTTTGTTAAAATAGTGGATGTTAAATAGGTTTGTACAATAAGTCCAAACAAGTTTAACTCAAAAATATTCATTTCTCACAATTATGAAGGGTGGAGGGTTAGGGTTAGGGTTAGGGTTAGGGTCAGGGTTAGGGTCAGGGTCAGGGTCAGGGTCAGGGTTAGAGTTAGGGTTAGGGTTAGGGTTAGGGTTAGGGTCAGGGTTAGGGTTAGGGTCAGGGTTAAGATCTGGGTTAGGGTTAGGGTCAGGTTTAGGACATCGTTTATTTTCCGATTTCATATATACAGTAAAGTTTGGTTTCCACCTCAGAAAGCTGCTAGTCACATGACCTAATCAAAATGGCCGACTTGGATGTGGGAGGAGTCGGACATCCAGCCGAGGCTCCTTCAGATCAAATAGATTCTCCATCTTTGCTCAGATTTTCTAACCCGAATAAAGCCGATTGGTAAGCCCCCCTCCCCCTCCTCCTACATCCAAGTCGGCCATTTTGAATTAAATGGCCGACATTAAAGGGGGAGGAGCCAGGCCAGAACCCGCTAACTCAGCTGGGATTTGAACCCCCAAACCGCCTGTTTCAGTTCGACAAACACGTGAGGCTCGGATTGAAATCTGCCTTTTCCTGGAACTGGAGAGAGGCTTTGCTGTGGCTCGCTCGCCCCCCTGCAGGTCTCTCTCTCTCTCTTCCTGCCCTGCACCCGTCTGTGCTCTTTCTGAAACCTTCAAACAGCAGAAATGAGTCTCACGCATCACCTCGAAGATTTAGAAGACACAAGAGTGAGAGCCTAAAGACCACAACAGGAAGTAACCGGGGGGGGGCAGGTTCTGAGAGCTGAGAGAAAACTAAACTAAGAGGTAAAGACTTAGACCAGGGGTGTCAAACTCTAAAACTCAGGGGGCCAAAATCTAAAACCTGAACAAAGATTGAACTAATTAACCTTTAAATATGGAAAAAAACTAATTTAGCTAACATTGAATATCAGAGATGTTCAGTAACGAAGTATAGCTACTTAATCCAGTATCTGTACTTTAGTTGAGTATATATACATTTTCCCTACTTTTACTTTTACTCCACTACATTTTTTCGATTAATTTAATACTTTTACTTTTACTTTTACAGGCTGAATCGTTACTCGTTGCCAGAGATATACAGTAAGGAAGTAGAACTACTTAAGTACCAAAATACAGTATCTGTACTTTATTGGAGTATATATTTTTTGCCCTACTTTTACTCCACTACATATTTTTCATTCATTTAATCCATTTACTCTGATAGATTTTTCCCGGGCTGAATCGTTACTGGTTTCTGAAATGTAAACGTAATGATAGATAGCTCTGTCAGGGTTTGGGAAGCTGGCTCCTCATTGGGAGAAGCATATCAAGGTTCATATATGAAAGAATACTTCTAATTTTACTCAAGTCCATTTTTTTTATATAGTACTTGTACTTTTACTCCACTTCTCTACTCAAGTACTTTACACATCTCTGTTGAATATGAAACAAGCAACTCTTATTACATTATATATAACCTAATAGTGGAGACATGCTAAATCAATTTTAAAATACAAAAAACACATAAAAGGCATTCATTTATTAAATAAGATTTTAAAACATTTTTCTATTCGCAGCCTTCTGAATTAAATATCAACATTAAATTAGCATGTCCAGAAAGCTTCCATCCATCCATCCATCCATCCTTCTTTCCTTCCTTCATTCATTCCATCCATCCATCCATCCATCCATCCATCCATCCATCCATCCATCATCAATCCATCCTTCCTTCCTTCCTTCCTTCCTTCCTTCCTTCCTTCCTTCCTTCCTTCCTTCCTTCCTTCCTTCCTTCTTTCCATCCATCCATCCATCCATCCATCATCCATCCTTCCTTCCTTCCTTCCTTCCTTTCATCCATCCATCCATCCATCATCCATCCTTCCTTCCTTCCTTTCATCCATCCATCCATCCTTCCATCCTTCCATCCATCCTTCCATCCTTCCATCCATCCATCCATAATCCATCCATCCATCATCCATCCATCCATCCATCCATCCATCCATCCATCCATCCATCCATCCATCCATCCTTCCTTCCATCCATCCATCCATCCATCCATCCATCCATCCATCCATCCATCCATCCTTCCTTCCTTCCATCCATCCATCCATCCATCCATCCATCCATCCTTCCTTCCATCCATCCATCCATCCATCCTTCATAGATGAGTTTCTGGGTCCTGTCCTGAACAGCAGCAGGGCATTATGGGAGTTGTAGTATGAGTGGTTAATGTGCAGTATAATACCAGCTGTCGGAGTCATTTGGTATTGTCTCGCGGGCCAAATATAATTACAGAGTTTGACACCCCTGGTCTAAACTAATGAAGGCTGAAACTCTTTATCCAACATTTTGAAAAATACTGACATTGAACATAGAAAATAGAGGCAAATCAGCCCGAATATTCCAGTGTCCGGAGTCACCGGCTTTAATCCTGAACTGTTAAGTATGATATTCAAGCTCATGACACCCTTTATTTAGAATATCCTAATCGCAAATCACAATCCAGTCGCTAATTTCCATCCAGTCCTGCAGCTTTAGTTCAGGAACAACGAACTTTAAAACCCTCTTTTAAAACGAACTCTTTTAAAACCCTTTTAAAGACCCACTTTTTCTCTCAGGCCTTTGAGTGAGACTTTATCTTAGTTGTCTTAATTTCCCTCTCTTACTTGGTTTTGTTTTTTCTTATTTATTTATTTTTTTTGCTCTTACTGTTTTTTTAATCTTTGAGTTTGTCTTGTGTTGTGGTGATAATTGTGTTTTTCTTCTCAAATGGCCTGTACAGCGCTTTGATTTTAGCTTTGGCTGACTGAAAGCGCTTTATAAATAAAGTTGAGTTGAGTTGAGTTGAGTTTAGGTGGAACAAACCAAGACCAGGAGGAGTAGAGGACGAACTGGAATAGCTGAATCTGTCTGAAACTTTATTAAAAAAGCCCGATCTGTACCCGGGCATCCGCCCAGAGAGTGAACCGTAATGTCTGCCAGAGCTCGGCCCGCTGGGATGGCAGCTTTTACATTTCTGGGGTGTTTCTGAGCAGTTTTATCTGAAGCTTTCCTGTACATCATTAAGTTCCACTGTGGGCCAGCCAGGCCCCAGACAAGCATCATTTCCTTGAGGTGGGTGTAACTCGTCCTCTGGCGTGTGTGCGTCAGACTTTAAAACAACAGAGAGAAGAATGTAAATTTTGTAATTATGTCCAAACCGATGCCAAGAATACCTAGGAGATGTAAACGGTCGGGCAAAACAAAAGGCTCTAAGCAGCTCTAAGGCAGAGCGGCTCCACAGGGGGAGGAGGGCTGGATCTGGGGGTTAAGGAGGTCCCCATCCAGGTTTTTTAAGATCCGATCCGATCCGATCCCGGCCTATCAGAGCATGTGCTAAAGTCTAAAGTTATTTATCTACTTACTTAGTTGTCAGACTCATGTTGAACAGGGATTTACTCTGATAACAACTTAATACCTCCTTAAAATATCAATAAAAACCTTTTAAAGCCAAAGAAAAAAATCAAATCCCATCCCAAATGTAAGCTGTGAGAGCTATTTATGCACTATTGAACAAAGAGGGTCACATCTCTGGCAAAAAAAACCCAAAACCAGCACAAATGGAGCCTTTTTTGTTGGGGTGCCTTCAAACTAGGGACGTCCCCATCCAGCTTTTTTCCTTCAGATCCGATCTGATCCGATCCCGGCCTATCAGAGCATTTGCTAAAGTCTAAAGTTATTTATCTACTTACTTAGTTGTCAGACTCATGTTGAACAGGGATTTACTCTGATAACAACTTAATGGTTAGGACACAGACCTGTGGGTCAGAGATGCTAATGCTAATGCTAATGCTCTGATAACAACTTAATGGTTAGGACACAGACCTGTGGGTCAGAGATGCTAACGCTAATGCTAACGCTCTGATAACAACTTAATGGTTAGGACCCAGACCTGTGGTTACAGATGCTAACGCTAATGCTAATGCTCTGATAACAACTTAATGGTTAGGACACAGACCTGTGGGTTACAGATGCTAATGCTAATGCTAACGCTCTGATAACAACCTAATGGTTAGGACACAGACCTGTGGGTTACAGATGCTAATGCTAATGCTAATGCTCTGATAACAACTTAATGGTTAGGACACAGACCTGTGGGTTACAGATGCTAATGCTCGTATGGGATTGTACTTAAAGAAACTGGATCTGGAGTCTGGATCTGCGTTTTCTCCTGCTGGCCAATAGGATCCAGACATGGGATCGGGACCAGCCTGGTCTGGGGGGTCTGGGCCTCACCGTCCGGGTCCTCGGCGGGCTGGATGCTCATGTAGGGCTCGCCCTTGTCCAGCCGGGACTGCCTCTGGCGGCTCTCCTCCTCCAGCGCGGCCTCGGCCCGGCTCTTGGCGTTCACATACGCCAGGTAGGCCGGAGAGTTGTGGTAGGCCTTCAGGCTCTCGTTGTACTCGATCTGGAGTCGGAAAGACAGCGGGAATGAGCAGGAAACAAAGGGGGAGGAAGACCCCTGTTTCTGTAAAGAAAACAAGATGAGGAGAGAGGGACACTCGGGGCCAGAGATGTTTAGTAACGAAGTAGAACTACTTAAGTACGAAATTACAGTATCTGTACTTTATTGGAGTATATATTTTTCCCTACTTCTACTTTTACTCCACTACATATTTTTGATTAATTTAATACTTTTACTCCGATCGATTTTACTGGTTACTGATATGTAAACGTAATGATAGATAGCTTTGCCAGGGTTTGGGAAGCTGGCTCTAAATTGGGTGGTTTGAGCAATCAAGCATAGCCTATTAAAAAAAAACTCCCGAAAGATTGAGAAATCATGGCCTTCAAAAATTCCCCATCTAATATATCTAGCATATCAAGGTAATTTAAAAAATACAATGACATATAAGCTAGTAAATAAGTGCTAGTTCAGTTCTCCCTGTTCAATCAGGACGTAGCAGCTAACGTTAGCTAGCTGGCTAGCTGTATGATAACGATAACGTTAGCTAAAGCTAACCTAGCTGGCTAGCTGTATGCTACATGCTATCATAAAGGCTCAGCTCAGGATTCTGACTCTGGAATAATAAATAATAGTAGATGAAGTGCTGTTGATGCTAATGCAGATGTAGTTTTCTGTTTTTGTAAACACCTGTATGGCCTTTCACACGTTTGAAATAATAAAAACAATATCTATCACACTTTTAATATACACAGTACTTGTACTTTTACTTATACTTGTAGTTACGATACTTGAGTAGCAATTTTTGAAATACTTCTACTTGCAATACTTAAGTACAAAAAAAATGGAGTACTTTCATACTTCCACTTAAGTATGGTGTTGAAAGAATACTTCTACTTTTATTCAAGTAAATTTTTTTATATAGTACTTGTACTTCTACTCTAGTACTTTATACATCTCTGCTCAGGACTAGCACACAGAAAGGATGATGACAGGAGGGACACAGCTACTAGGCCCCCCTTCAGAAAACCCCAAGGAACAACCCTTTTGTAAAACAACCAACCTTCTCTGCTTCGTAGTCATTCAAATAATCCTGTTTCTCCTCATCAGTGAGGTCCCTCCACATGCCACCGATTATCTTCCCAATTTCCCATAGCTTCAGATCAGGATTGGAGGCTTTTACTTGATCCCAAACCTGGTGATGAGAACCAGACATGGGTGTGGGGTTGGGTATGGTTGGAGGGGCTATGCGTTGTTATCTCTTTGCAGAGAGGTCACAAACCAGAGGAGGCCGAGTGCTTTAAGCTCCATCTCCAGAGTCGATAAACCCCCCTAAACGAGGCTAAGCTGGGGCTTCGTACCTACCTTCCAGGCGGCGGCTAATAGGCTAGCGCTGAACGCCCTTCTCTGGGCTAGCATCTCAGCTTTGTCTGAACAGACACAGGGGGGGTACGTACCTTCCGGCTGTATCTCATGTAGGGCATCAGGGGCTTATCGGGAGGCTTGGGCGGTTTGGGGATATTTATCCCGGAGGAATTCTAG